TTTAGTGAAGCCTTACTTTAGTGAAGCCTTACTTTAGTGAAGCCTTACGTTAGTGAAGCCTTTGAAGCATTACGTTAGTGAAGCCTTACATTAGTGAAACCTTTGAAGCCTTACGTTAGTGAAGTCTTACGTTAGTGAAGCCTTACGTTAGTGAAGCCTTACATTAGTGAAACCTTTGAAGCCTTACATTTGTGAAGCCTTACATTAGTGAAACCTTTGAAGCCTTACGTTAGTGAAGCCTTACATTAGTGAAGCCTTAAGTTAGTGAAACCTTTGAAGCCTTACGTTAGTGAAGCCTTACGTTAGTGATGACTGAGGCTGGGAGGAGGAGCTGCGGTCAGGGGAGACCAGGACTGAGCTGCTGAGCTGGTCAACAAGGGTTTTAAATTATGTCTTATTTCCTTCAATGAAATTTAAATTATTTTTTGTCTCTCATTTCATGTATTTTTGTCAGTTTTTCTTTTGATATTCTGTTAAAATAAAGCTGGCATGAAACTGAGATGTTTCATTTAGTGGGGGATCAAATACTTATTTCATCCACTAACATGCAGATGTTTTAATGCTAGTAACTCAGTTTTTGTTAATGCATGTTGAAGTTTTCTGGATTAAATAAATTGGACAAATTTCCAAAGCAGATGTAAAGTTTTTAATTTCACTTTTTATATTGTTTTGAAATGCTGATCTGTTTGACTTCATATGAAAAGTGAAATCAAATGACTGTATAAATATAGCTGAGTGTATTTGTGTCAGACATGAACTTTGGTCTGAGTGAACCTGCAGAGGAAACACAATGCAGTTTTACACACAATCATCATCATCATCATCATCATCACCATCTTAAACTTATTACTGTTCCTGTCTTTCTGTAGAGAAGACAACAGTAAACAAAGTGGAATATAACAGAGGATTGTTTCATAAAGTCAGAAATCCAGGATCAGAGATGAAGTCGGGCCTGACTAAGCACCACCAGTTCGTTGCTTTCAGTTTTTCTTCATGTTAGAACAGTGGTCCCCAAAGTCGGTCCTCGAGGGCCGACATCCTGCACGTTTTATTCTCTCCCTGGTGGTAGTAACAATCTTTTCAGCATGTCAATTGTTCTTCTTGGGCCTTCTAACGAGCCATCATTTGATCCAGGTGCGTTAAACCAGGGAGAGAACTAAAACATGCAGGATGCCTCCAGGACTGACTTTGGGCACCACTGGATTAGAAGAAAGTTAACGGAGGAATCGGTTCCATGATGTAGTTGTTTGTAGTTCTCATTTTCCAAATGAAATGGTTTATTTCTCTTGTATGTTGTATCATTGTGCTATTATTAGCAGGTTTGCTTATTATTTATGTGCTTCAATAATGTACATTTTTGTAGATAAGTATTAATCAGCCCATAGCTTCGTTATAGACTATAATCACCTTTATTTCCTATGTGAACAATTTTGGTTCTCTCTGTGAAAGGAGAATTTACAGACGAGTACTTATAATTCATATTTATCTTTATAGAAACCTCTCACTCATTCAGGAACAACAACAACTAATTAAAGTCAAGTAAAGCTCAACTGAACCTGGACTTTCTTTCGTTTCATTAACTCACCTGAATAAATCTGCTGTCCAGGAATAAACGGACCGTGTGACCCAAAGGAGTCAAACTCCAGTCCGCTGCTGTCCTGCAGGTTTTAGATGAGCCTCAGGTACAAAACCCTGGAATGAAACGGTTTAATTACCTCCTCCTGGTGCAGATCAGGCCTCCAGAGCCTTGATGACCTGATGATTCAGGTGGTGCAGCAGAGAAACATCTGAAGGCTGGAGGCCAGCGGAGGACTGCAGTTTGACACCTGTGGTCTAACTGGTAGAAATTTAGTGTTTTTAAATTTTTCCAGCATGAGCTGAGATTTCTTTTTTCTTAAGTTTATTTAATTTTTAACTTGAATTATTCAACCTTAATTTCCTCTTCATGTGTGACAAGAGCTGCCTTCAAAGGTTTTAATTTTATTCTAACTATTTTAAAAGACTCTCTTCACTATCAACATATTATTCTCCCTTTAATAGCAGCATTTGTCGCCTCCTAGAGGAATCTTGAGGAATTACCAGGCAGTTTGTTCCAGACAAAAATGGCCACTAATTTTCTCAAAATGAGTAAAGTTTGGTCTCATCGGTGGATTAAAGATTTTCCCATAACTGCCTTAGTGACTGGGACATGAAATATTAAATATGTGACCAAAATATATTTTTATATTCAAATGAATAGACAGGAAACAGTTAGGTATAAATTGGTGAGAAGATAAAATCGTTAACCTTTTGGCTCATTCACTTTCTGTTTTAATCCAACAGTTTATCTTCAGTCTTGTCTGTTTTTGAATAAATATGCTGAAACTTGGGAGTATTTGAACTGTGATAAACAAGTTTTATTATAAATGGTTGTGTTTTAACAAGTCTTTCCTGATTGGTTGCTAGAATAACTTGAGTCAGTAGAATCTGTGTTAATAGATTTATACTGGTGATATTATAGTGATCAGGTTAAGCTTGATGTGTTACTGCAACTTTAAGAATAAACCCAAAGGATTTATTTAAAGTAAAAGTTCTCGTCATGAAGTTTCCTGCTGATCTCCTGTTTTTACCAGCAGCTCCAGAAGATGGCGCTGAAACGCAGATGAAGTGATTCTGATTGGACTGACGTGTCACTGCTGGACTCACCTGCTCATGTTTCACAGGTAATAAAACTCCTGGTTGAGCTTTTAGTTTTACTTTGTTCCTGGTGCATCTAGTTCTGCTTTCATCTAATGTACATTTTCACTATGTTCCACATACAAAACATTTTGTCCTCTTTGTAATGAAATCTGTTACTTTCAGTCAGTCAACAAATAAAGAGTAAAATGGAAAAATTAAATACATTTAATTCAAATGTATCTCATAGATATTACATTATTATAATAACTCCTAATGAGTTTTATTTCTTTTTTATTGTAATCACAGCAGAGAAGGAAACTCTGTTAAACATTTCATAAAGACAAATTAGTCGGCTAATATTACAATTTGCTACTAAAATACTTTAATAAAGTCTGAAGCTACATGGAGGTTTTTTGTGTCACTATGTTGCTCATTTAGATCCAGTTACATACGATTCCCAAATATTTTTTTATCCACTTTTGATGAGCACATTTACATTTAGTTGCACTGAACAAATAGATTACTACTGAGACCATGTAACTGTTTTTGGTGTAGTTGGTAGATTATTCTCTGGTTACTGAGGATTAACTGGTTTAGTGTCGTTTCATCAGAGTGGCATAATTTGCTACAACATAAAGTTAAATGGTGCAGAAGGTATTTTGTGATAAAAGCACAGAAAGTTGTCAAGAGGAACACCTGGTGCTCAGCGTGTGAAGAGAAAAATAATTTAGAATTATCTAAATTTCAACTTCATCTCTGAAAATTCAGCTTATCTCAATGTTCTGTCTTCTAATCAACATATAATCATTTTGTCACTTTACATTTTTATTTTATCTTGTTTAGAGCTGCTGATCTTTCACAGCTCGTTTGTTTCGGAGCAGCTCACTGAAACATCCATGTCCTTCTTTTCCATCAGCAGATTTTGGGCAGTCTGGTATGTTAGGCTTTTAATATTCTGTTTTAAATTCATCAGATTGTTCTTGTCAGTTTAGTTTTATTTTTATGAAACATAACATCAAAGACAGAGGTATTTATTTTCTGACGTGAGTGAAAATGGACTCAAATTTAGAAAATTATGCAGGAGGTGTAATGAAAACTCTGCTGGTATTTTCACGTTCATCATTAGCTGTCCTTTTTCCTCCTGACCTCTGACCTCTAAAGTGTCTGAGCAAACCTGACTGGATGCTGAACCCAGGTGAGTCTAATCAGAAGGACGAACAGCAGCTGAGGGAGTTTAGAGAAGGGAACTAATTATGTCTGAGGGAACTAATTATGACTGAGGGAACTAATTATGACTGAACTAAAACACAAAACAAACAATAAAAGCAAAAGGAAATCAGTCTCACTTCAAACTGAACAGAAATATTCAGAGATCAAAAGATAAAGTAACAACACAGAGGAATGAACTGAATACGGCAAGACCTTAACTACAATAATGAACAAGTCAGAAACGATCAGACTGTAATCTGACCAATCACCTGAGGATTATGGCTCTAGTTCTGCTTAAAGAGACCAGATTTAATTTAATGATTTTCATATTTTTTGTATTTAAGTTTTTTAAGGATAACGACTTAGCAGCTCCAAGAAAACCGACCTTTGACCTGCAGGTTCACTGCCTCATCAAATAAACCGATAAATGATGTTGGATGGATCAGTAACAGTCTGATCCTGCAGAGATGAGCTTCAGAATCATCCTCACATTTCAGCACCAGGAGCATTTAAAAATCAAACGTATAACCAGATATTTCACTGTGAAGTGATCACATCTGTCTTTGATAAGTTCTTAAAAACTTGATAAATTTTAGAAAGAGTTTAAGGGATCGATCTTCTGATCACAACGAGGAAAACAACCAAACCCGACACAAACAGAAAAACTGATTAAATTATCATAACGACGGAGCAGCAGCTCAGATTCAACTGGGAGCAAAAGAAAAACACGTTGTTCAGAACGGTTTGAGTTTTTAAAGGTTTTCTTAATTAAACGTTCAGTTGTGAGACGTGAGCAGAGGAACTGGAAGAGTTTTCCAGAAAAATACAATAAAAATACAATAAAAACACAATAAAAACACAATAAAAACATAATAAAAACACAAAGGATTCTTGTTTCCCGTAGGTTAAATATTAACTCAGCGTCTTTCCGCCCTGCTGACAAACCAAGAAGGATTAATTTACTGCAGAGAAACTGGCTCAGTGAACAGGGAGGGAAAAAACTAATTCACATGTAAGGTAGGAAAACTTAACTGGAACTTTGTAAAATACAATTAAAAACCATAATATATAGTTTTATTAACATTTTCCTGTTAAGGCATTGCTTTTCTTAATTAGCCAACTGTTATAAATTTAAATTTGGATTGTTGTAATTTAATCTACTTTGTTCTTAATTTACTTGATTTGAGGGAATGAAAACATTAAGAAATAAACTTCAGTTCAGTCAGTTTGTCAAAGAAGCAGAAATAATCTGACGGCAGCCACAGGTCAGAATTATAGATGTTATAAAGACGAAACCTAATAACTTTGTTGTTTAGCTGCTGGGAACTCTGAGCAGAAGGTCTGAACATATTGAGTCAAAGATGGTTTTAAAGAGCTTCTAGATGCATTAAAATCAGCAGAAACACGTCTAAATAAATGTTTTCTGAATGTGATTATTGTCTCTGTGCTTTAAGGGACAGAGTCTAACGCAGCTCAGGGTCCAGCTTTCAATTTCCCTGAGTGAAGCACGTCCTCCTCTTCCTCACATTAAACTCATGTCAAATCTTTATGCAGCAAATTCTTGTTTTTTCTGATATCGTATTAATAAATGTTTCCATAGTTTGTTTGATTGTAAACAGCACTAAAAATAGAAACTACAAAGTTTAAATACTGAGTAGAAATAAGGAGATTTACCTTTAAACCAGGTGAGTCTAACCAGAGGGAAGCAGATCAGCTGGACTCGAACTGAGGGAGACGAACTAGAACAGTGAAGGATCAAAAACCCAAAAGGAAAAATCACTTAAAACACTTAAAAAAATAATAATTTAAGCAGAAATACTCAGAAAACACAAAAAGAAACTCAACACAGTAAATAAACTGAAAACGGCAGGAAGTGAACAACAAACCAAAAATGATCAGAATTTAAACACAAACTGGAAGCAACAATATTTCAGTTCTGACAATAGTTTTATTTGAATGTTCATGATTCAGAATAATATTTTTAAATCATATTTATCATCCCAGTTATTTAAGGACTGAGTAACTCAGGGATCCAGTAAAATGACCCAACCTTCAGGCTCTGACCTTTGACCTGCTGCTGCCTGATCAGATGATCTCTGCTGGATCAGGCAGCAGAGCTGAACTTCAGTTTCATCCTCACTCATCAGCATCAGGAGGATTTGTTTAATACATACATATAACAAGAGATCCTTACAGATTTGGGCCACTGAA